GATAAACCAGGTAGGGACCAGAATCCAGATGAATCAACTTAGGATAAAATAAAGGCAGGACCTACTCTTGCCTCTAGACAACTTACTATGAATCGCACTAGGACTGTCTCCCCATGCCCAACAAAATGAAGATAATGTGGGAGAACATCAGCTAGTGAGAAAGAGCTGGGTTGTGACATGATCATCAGGAAAGGAATAAAATCAAGGGTTGTGTTCGTAAAGGTCTCTTCTCTGGCTAGCAGAAGGGAGGTAACTATTCTGCCTTCTCTTCACTGGTCCATCCAAACTATCCAGGTTTCCAGTCCTGGAGGCCATGCTTACATGAGATATCAATTGGAAAAGGGCATTCAGAGGGCTCTGTGAAGAACTGCTGATAGCACTAAGGGTGTGCTCAATCCAGAAAAGAGAACATAATCCCTCAAATGTTGGAGACCTATTCTGGGGTAGGGGATTAGATCTGCTCTAGTGACCTCCAAGGAGCTCTGGAGGCACAATGGTTAAGCTCTTGACTGCTAACTGAAAGGTTGGTGGTTTGAACCCATCAGCTGGTCCATGGAAAAAAGATCTGGGGATCCATTTCCATAAAGATTACAGCCTAGAAAACTGTACGGGGATACTCTGGGTTGCCATTGATCAATGGCACACAACAACAAAGTAACTCTGTGGGTGATATTTCTCAAATGAGTGGCAACAATTAGACATCAGAGCTTTCTCTGGGGAAGCCCTAAATCCCCAGCAGAGTCTGGAAAGGGGATGATGGGGCCTTTGTAGATGCGATATACACATGACATTTTACATTTTTCTAGACCCATATCCAGTTCACATTCTTTATATTTTTAATCTTGTAAACTGTTTTTACATGTTGCTGTTGTTAGGTGTTAGGTCTCTGACTCATAACGATCCTATGCACAGCAGAATGAAACACTGCCCAGTCTTGTGCCAGCCTCACGATCCTTGCTATATCCCTGAGTCCATTGTTGAAGCCACTGCGTAAATCCATCTCATTGAGGGCCTTTCCCTTCTACGTTGACCCTCCACTTTACCAAGCATGATATCCCTCTCCAGGGAATGGTTTCTTCTGACAACATGGTCAAAGTAGGTGAGACAAAGCCTGGTCATTCTTGCTCCCAAGGAGCATTTCACCTGCACTTCTTCCAGGACAGATTTGTTAGTCCTTTTAGCAGACCATGGTACTCTTAGCATTCTTCTCCAACTAACAATAATGCTTATTATGAAATTTGCTATTTATGAGAGTTTTTGACTGAATATTATGTAACACTTTTTTTTTTCATTTAAATACTTTAATTGCACTAGTTTATCAGCTTCTAAGAACTTCATTTTATTTTTTTGTTCTAGAAAACTCTCCTGTACAGACTCAACAAAAATTTGCTGAATGAATTAACACTATTTTAGTATTTTTATATAAAATGTATAACAACAGTACATTTTCCTCCCTTAAAAAGTACAGCATAATTGAAACAACTTAACCTTTCTTTAAAGAGCTCTGCTGGTGCAGTGGTTAACCACAAGGTTGGTGGTTTGAACTTACCAAGTGTTCCACAGTAGAGAGATGTGGCAGTCACTCAATGGCAATGGGCTTGGTTTTGTGGTTTTGGTTTAACCTTTGATAATACAGGATCTAGCAGAGTCCTTTTACAAGCATGAATTGTCATTATTCAGCACATACCTGTGGCTAGTTTTGTGCGTGGGCAAGACTGGGAAAGAGGCTCAGTTTCCCTCAGTATCTTACTGCCTCCTCACCTTTTCTATTTTAGCAGCCTTTCAGCTCTCCTTAGGTACCTCTCCTGCAACATTCTACCAATAGTATTATTGAGCACTATATTCTTTAGATATTTTCTTCCTTTCTCTGAAATATAGCCATGGAATAGGAAGAAATGTGTTATCAGAAACCAAGTGTTCTGATTTTACAGCAGAAGAAAAACACATCCTTAGGCTCAGAAACTTAGTCTCAGGGGACACTAAGGTCAACTAACATAACATAGTTTACAAAGACAGTATTCTACCTCCTACTTTGGTGAGTAGTGACTGGGGTCTTCAAAGCTTGTAAGCAGCTACCTGAAGTGTATTTATTGTTCTCTCACCATCTGGATCAAAAAAGAATGAAGAAAATCAAAGACACATGGGAACAATTAGGCCACAGGACTAATGGACCATGTGAACACCTGCCTTCATAACCCTGAGACCAGAAGAACTAGATCATGTCCAGCTACTACTGCTGACTTCTCTGAAAGGGATCACAATAGGAGGGCTCAAGTAGAGCGGGAGAAAAATGTAGAATAAAACTCAAATCATAAAGAAAAGACCAGGATTATTGGTCTGATAGAGACTGGAGGAACCCCCAAGACTTTAACCCTTAGACTCCCCCTCAAGCTGAGAACTGAACTCATTCCCACGACTCAACTTTCAGCCAAATGACAGACAGGCCTATAAGGCAAACAATAACAGCAAAAAGGTATGTACTCATTAGAACAATCAACCATATGAGATAAAAAGGGCAGCACTTTCCCAGGGATAAAGCTAAGAAGGCAGGAAGGGACAGGAATGAAGGAAAATGGTAAACACAGGGAGGAAGTGGGAAGAGTGTTGTTACATTGTGGGGATAGCAATGAATGCCACAAAATAAAACATGTATGAATTGTTGAATGGAAAACCAATTTGCTCTGTAAACTTCCAACCAAATCACAATAAAAACAAAACAAAACACATCCCCAGAAAAGGCAAAGAGTTACCCCAAGTCAAGCAGCTAGTCAAGGGAAAAGCTAAACTTAGGGCCTAGGCCTCCCTCCACCCTGGTCAGAGCTCTCTCCACTGCTCTTGGGCTGTAGTCTCTCAAGAATGTGCTAAGTTACTGCACAGGTGGCATGTCAAACAGACCTGGTACGCACTGATAATGGCTTACTACAGATTCAACTAAATTAATATAGGCAGGGCTTCAGGCAAGAATGGCCAGACTTCCTCTCACCTATTTTGGTCATGTTTTAAGAAGGGACCATTCCCTGGAGAAGGATGTCATGCTTGGTAGGGTGGAGGGTCGACGAAAGAGGGGGAGGC